GCGAGGAACAGAATTCGAAACCAGAAATACTTGGTTTGATTTCTAAGTTTTGGGGTTTTTTAGTTGTTCATTTGTTTATTTGTCTGTTTTGTAGTAGTGAGACTCAAACCCAGGGATACTCTGTCACTGAGCTACAATCCCAGCCCTTCCAGTGCTTTTTATTTTATTGTGAGACATGGTCTCCCTAAGCTGCCCATCCTAGCCTCAAACTTAGAATCCTCTTGCCTCAGCACCCCAACTAGTTAAATCTAACTGTGCTAATTTTGGGCAAGTTTTGTAATCTCCCTGAGCAGTTCCCTAAGATTAAATAGGACAATATACTCAGGAGGCTAAAGCAGAAGGGTTGTCATGAGTTCGAGACCAGCATGGACTACAGAGAGAGAGAGACTGTCTCAGATAAATAAATAAATAAATAAAACAATTTATGTAAATATATAAAGCATGGGGCCAGATAGATAATAAGCAAAGGCAAAATAAATATATTAAGTAATAAACAGCAGCTCTTAGTATTCCTATTATGGTTCTTTTGGTATCAATCAACCCATATATCCCTGGTGAACAGTTCATTAGCTATGAAGTTTAATCCTAAGTAGGAAACTAGATTTTATATAGGCTTAATATTTGTTTTTCCCAATGGTGTCTCATCAGAGCACACAAAGTATTTCCAAATGGTTATGCTGTAGGGGGAAAAAAAAATTTGTCCTCAATTTAATTTTTGATAGCTGAGTTGAGAAAAATGTAGGCTAGAGTCTATGTGCCTGTCCTGACTAACCTATCAATAGCTGAGTGACTTTAAGTAACTTATATTTTACAGTCTGGTTTTCTTTCTTTTTTGTTTTGTTTGTTTCCTCATCTGAGTACAAGATGGAAATAATAGTCCTCCCTCAAGATATTAAGAAACTCAGTATACCTAAGATGTTCAGAAGGAAACTATTCAACATTTTTTTTAAAATCTAAAAACCTTATCACCAGGCCTGGTGGCACAAACCTGTAATCCCAGTACTTGGGAGGCTGAGGCAGAAGGATCATTGTGAATTCATGGCCAGGGTGGGCTACAAAGTGCACTTACGATCAGCCTGAATTGCATACCAAGACTCTGTCTCAAAAAGATGACATCATCATCATCATCATCATCAATAAAAACCTTACTTTGCTAACCAGTAAAAATATGGCTTATGAATTGGTTCAATCAGTCATCATTGCTACTAACCATACCAGGATGCAATAGTCATTTTCATTTATAAACTGTAAATAATTTTGTGCAGTGTTTAGCATTGAGAAGTTCCACTCTATTACAACATCAGCTAAGGTAGAACTTGTAAATATAAAATATTGTCCTCGAAAAATCTAACCTAAGGCCTGGGATATAGCTCATTTTTATATTTATTAAAAAATAATTTCAGATAAACCTTGCAGTTCAGAAAAAGCCAACTTCTGTTACTTTCTGACATATAAAACTATTTTCACAAAATTAAGTGCTTTTCTTAATAAATTATAAATGGTAGGCCAAAGAGATAGCTCAGTGGTCTAAAGTGCCTGCTTAGGCAAACTTAGGCAAACACAGGGACTGTGGCTCAATCCCCGGCACCACATGCCACACCAGCCCAACCCCAGGGTGGGCTGAACCAGCCACAAAAAAATAAAAATGGCATGTTTCAACTTTTGTATAAATTATACTTTTACACATTAGAGCTGCTACCTGGCATATCACCCAACATGCTACTTTTAACAGGTACCTGAAATATATATTCTGAATCAAATGCCTTTGGTTGACAATAATCTCAGAATATGAGATGATTTTCCTACCTCCAACAGCTGGCTCATGCTTCCCACTGTCCCAGAACTTTGAGAGTTATTTCCACCTGGCTGACTAAGAACATCTATGTTAATAAGATAATATAATACAAAAAGGAAGTAAACAAGAACATGAGAGACAAATAAGGGTGGAGAGGGATCAATAAGTGTCCTTTATGGAATGAAATACTTTTTCAATTCAGTCTTGTTGACAAGTTTCTAATGAATTAATGAATATGTGAAATACATTCATGTAAGTCTCCAAGATTTACATGCTGATTGATACAACTATTGCTTCTTGAGAGCGGAACACATGCTTGTTGTTTTGCTAAGCACACAGGCAATGCAAATTAAAAACAGATTCAAACCATTCTTTCATGAAAGTAATGATTTCCACTAGAAAGCTCCAAAGAAAACAGGACTTAGCACTTCTGAGCCAAACAACTAAGTGTTCTCTTCACTGTCTTACGGCCATTCTCCTGGCCATTCCACATCTCAAGCAAGCACCTCTCCCTCTCACCATTTTTTGACTGGAAAATTCTACCTAGTAGCAAACAGAAATACTACGTAAAAGTTTGCTTGATTATACCAGTATATGAAATGTTGCTGAGTCTGGTTTCTTCTGAGAAGTAAGACTTTGGGCCTTACATTCCAAGAAGACTTTTTCTCCATCTCCCTTGTACTCATTCTAACTATAGCTCTCATTCCTGGCATGTACAGTAGTCCCTTGCTATTTCATGGTTCATGACTTTCATGGACTCATTGTTTCACAGGTTTTAAAAAAATATTAATCTAAGTTATTTATCATGGATTTTTCACTATTTAGAGGGATTTTGCAGTAACATACAGTGTATGTATGTTGTTAAAGTTATATAGGTTTACAAGTTTAGAAAATGGTTTAAGAACATAAGAAGTGTTTTTAAAAGTGTGGGAAAGGTTTATAAGAATGTGGAAAGGGTTTATAAAGCCTTAAAATCTATCTAAATACTAAAATAAATATAATGCACCTTGACTGATTTTCACTTATCGAGGGGGTGTCTGGAATGTAAGCTCCATGATAAGTGAGGGGCCACTATAGTAGAATCCCCACTAGAGCTCTTCCAAACTTCTACTGAGTAGGCAGCCTTTGGAAACAATGAAGTGGCTCTATAAGAAGAGAGCATCTGTCAAGATAGTACTATAAAGTGACAAAAGCAGGTACAGAACCTTTTTATAATACACCCCTACACGTATATGCACACATGCACTCAGGCATGTTTGTAAATGCAAGGTATATGTCTGTGGATTTTTTGCTTTGTTTTTGCAGTACTGGGGATTGAACTCAGGACCTTTAGCTTGCCAGGCAGGCACTTATGCCGCTGAGCTATCTCCCTAGCCCTTCCACGTGTATGTCTGGAAGTATATGCAGGAAGTTGACAGTAGTGTTTGCCTCTGGGAAAGAAAGCTGCATGGATGCAGAATGAAGGAGAGGGAGAAATGTTGGTTTAGCAATTCTGTTTTTGAAATTTGTTGTGTACTGTTTAAGAAAAAAAAATTCTCAAGCTCCACCTTCAATCTACAGGGAAAAGTTAATTAATGGGTAACCCAATAATCTTTATTCTTAACAAGTTCCCCAGTTGCTTCTTTTGCAATTAGCTCAGTAGAAAATGACATTGGGCAACCACTAATCTAACACCCTGCCAAAGCCTAACACAGTACATCATCCATGGCCACATCCATCGCCACTCTGTTACTCCCATTAAACTGTAAGCTTCTTACAAGCAACGCTAATATATAAATCGGAATTTTCTACTCCTACCAGATCTAGTAACACTGACTCCACCGTGAACTCACGTGAAGTTTATACTGGTAGATACAGAACAGAAACAAAGCACAGTGGGGAGGCATTAGTTTAGGCTATTATCTTACAACTTATTTAAATATACTTTTCAAATATAATGAAGGAGAAAATGAATGGGGGAGACTAAAAACTTCTGCAATGTTTATACTTTTCATCAATGCAAAGCAATGCAGTATTTTTAACCACTCAGGCTTACTTATAGCCATAATCTTATTATACAGAAAGAAAGGTCATTACAAATTTATATAAAATGCTCATTTACTTTGTTCCCCTTCCATGTGGCACTCAAATGTTCTAATAGGAACTTGATTTTTCAAACATTATCTAGCAAAAAGACTGACTATAAATAGAAATGAACAGATTTTAAAGAGATGAAGTAATAGTCATCAGAAGCTTTTTAATCCAGTTCCAATTTTATTTCCCACTGGAAGTACAAGAAGGAAAACTATACTTTCTCAGGCCAAATGACACCTACAAGATAATTAAATATACATAAAGTCAAACCATACCGTGGAACAAAACTTTTATATCTAGGACACTTAGTGATGAGTCAGCTACAAGGACAAGAGTCAACTGAAGCAGATTCTTTTTACTAACCATTCTCATCTCAGAATACTCCCAGAGTTTGCATCTAAAGGAAAAGATCACAGGCCAGGCCAAGCAAAAGCAATTCATATTAGAAAACTTTCTATTTAGATGGAAATTAAGATAGAATTCTACAGGGGTTAGTACCCTAAGCATGCTTCTTCATTATTCATTAAAGATGAGTTAGAATAGGGTTTGGACCATGAAAATCTTAACATAATCCATAACAAATATCCCTATATGGAATTTCATGTATGACCTTCTGGAGACAGAATCTCAATTCAATTACAAAAATGAGAGGTACTGAGTTGTTCAAAGAAGGTGAACAGCAAGTGTGGGCCATCTTATTCTAAAACATGTAAGTCAGGGTACTATCTAAAATACAGGAATGGAAGAAGGTTTTATATCTATATATTTTATATTGTTTGCTTCCTGATGGATACAACAAAGAAAAGAATTAAGCTGCACCTGTGATTTTTCCAATTCATTGAATCGCTACCCATTAGTCATTACTGATCCCTCTTTTGTTGTCTTTGCCAACAGTTTTAACATCTACTTTTCTCAGCCTCTAGGCGTAC